GAAAGAGAAGTTATCATCAAAGACGAGACAGGAGCGGGGGAAAGCTGCCAAAAGCAACCTCAGGCACAGTTCGTCACAATATTTTTCTCAGGAGTGTTGTTATGGAAAGTTTTACTTGCCAGGTTCAGTGTCCGAACCTGAGAGGGATTCATGAGAAGGCAAGCTGACAGTCAATCCTCCCGATACAGGGAGTGATCAAAGCTGGTCAGGGGTCCTTCGGCCAAACGGAAGGAATCATGAGGGTGTCAATGATGTAATACATGACTTGCACGGGGAAAAGGAACCAGACTGATGCTCCCCGGAATGGACATGGAACCAGGACCACAAGGGCCTGAGTTATTTTGAAAAAAGAGAGAGGGAGAAGAGAAAGAGGGAAGAAAGAAGAAGAAATGATTCTCGCTCTTTAGGATCGCATTGTAATCCTCTCTTTTCAAAGTGGTATGTGCCACGATTCTGGCTGCAAAGGAAGTTTCAGCTTCTGATGTAACTCCAGTCACATTTTTTGGCTGTTGATAGAAGGATTCCAAACATTGAGCACATGTGCTCCTCGACCGAGGTGTGATGCAATGAGCTTGAAATCTTCGTTGACTTCTTAGGCTCAGGAGTTGGAATGGTCAAAGCATCTGTGTGCATTGCAGAGGGATATGAGCAACCGGAAACACTGGAATTTTGCTTTTTTTTTGCAAGGGCATTTTATTTTATTTTAATTTTTTTTGCATTTTTTTTGCAAGGGCATTTTTTTAATTCCGAACGATGTTGAATTTCGCTCAGTATTACTTTGAATTTTCACGACTTTTTTGTGGTATTTACAGAATGAGCGTTTGTGTGTCTGTGTTGGGGCCAATATGTGTCTTCTGTCACTGGTTGGTTCCGGCGCTTCCTTGTTAACGATTGATGTGAGACAGCTCTTGGACGCAAGCATACAGAGTGATTCCCCAGCCGATCACTTCCATTATGAGAAGTAAGCAACTTTTCCTCCGCTTCCATCCCGAGTGCATGGAATTATCTGTCCTTTATGCAGTTATACTTTTTCTTAGAATCAGTGATGACAAGTCAACATGGTGTCGTACTCTCAACTGTAGACACACCTCTGAAGCAACATACTGTCACGGCCTTGACAGTTGGTATTATGATTGGCCCGGGCGCGAACATCCGGACATCCAGACATCCAGAAACCGGTACCGGACCCGTGTCTGGATGGAACCGGACGTCCGGTTAATCAGACATACAACCGGACATCCAGACAACCGGACCCGCACAGTTAGGAGGCCAAAACGAAACGACGGCCACCAATGAGATTTATCAACGGCGGCCGTCGTCGGGCCCAGCCCCCGACTTTTTAGGAGTTATCTTCCCAACCGTTGAAGTTACAAGTGGTTTAAAAAAAAAAAAAAAAAAACACCCACCCACCCATCCACGGACCCTTAGCAGGGGGGGTTGGTGCGTTCTTGCTGGAGGAGTCTTCTGTCTTAGGTACGTTGTCTCTTATCGTCTTCCTCCTCTTTGGCAGTGACGTGAATGTGTAGTTTGAGATGAATGCCGGGAATGCCAATGCTGTTATATGGTGCCTTATTGCTGGAGTAGTCTTCTGTTTTAGGTAAGTTGCCTTCTGCCCTCCATCCCCTTATGGTTTGAAATATCAGCCTCCTGATGAGGCGGTGAAACTCCGACAAAACAGTTTTTGTCACAGCCCCTCGTTTGTTGTCCTCTTCTCCCTCTCTGCCTATGGTTTACCGGGAAGCTCTGTTTGACTGTACGTGCAAGCGTGCCGCTTTGGCGGCAGACGGGTGTGTGGGCACTTGGCGCTGAACCGCACAAACGTGGCCAACCTTGCATTTTCTATTATATTGCCTATCTATACTTTTTCGTTATGGATGGCTTGTGATGATTTGTGAAGGGAATGTGTTACGGACTCAGCCAGGGATCGATCCCTGGTCCGTGGGGTACCACCCGCCAGCCTGCTATTTTTTTTATTTTTTTTTTTTCCTGCTCTTCGGTTTCTGACTGTTGGCGCCCTCTGCAGTTGGCGCCCGTTTTCAAATCCCTCCTTTGGCACTTTCAGATTTCGACACTTGGCGCCATCCGACATTCTGGCGCCCAGACTCAGACTTTCGATTCTCAGTTCAGTCCTGAGGCAATGGCACTTCTGCCCTCCGGACTGAACTTGAGTCCGGTACTTAAGACCGGACTCAAGCCCAGTACGGGCATTCAGTTTTCGGCCTCAGTGCTTGTGCTTCAGTGTGACCTGCTTCGACATTGTGTGCGGAAATCCAAGACTGCGACTTTGCGACTTTGCCACTTTGTGTCTGCGTCTGTCGAGTCATGTCGAGTCTGCGTCGAGTTGAGTGAGTGTGTGTGTGTGCTCTCACTCTCCCTCTCTCTCTCTGCCTCTGCCTCGTCACACTGGTATCGGAGCGGCTTTGGCCCTCCCTCCCGCCCTGTTCCATCATCGTCGCCATCGTTGCCACATCATTGTCGTCGCCGTCGACCTCGTCGTTGTCGTTGCCACATCATCGCCATCGTCGTCATCTTCGTCGTCGTCATCGCTGCCACGTCAGCGCCTGCCGTCGTCGCCATTGCCACGTCAGCACCTCGCTGCCTCCCTCGTCGCTGTTGCAACGCCACCGATCCCGAAGCCGATGCGCAGGTAAGTGACCAATAAACTTTCTTTTTTTTCTCCTCCCCCCTCATTTCTTCTTCTTCTTCCCCTCGTCGTCGTCGTCATCGCTTCCTTTCCTCCTCCTTCCTCCTCCTCCTTTCCTCCCTCGATTCTTGTTCTTTCTCGTCCTCTTCAACACTCCTTCCCCCCCGTTCTTCTTCCTTCTCCTCGTCGTCGTCGTCATCCCTCCTTCGTCTTCTTCTTCCTCGTCTTCATTCCCCCTTCCTCCTACGCGCCATCTCCACCTCTCTTCCCGCGCGCTATTCCCCCCCGCTGCCTACCCAATCCCACTCCCCACCCTCCCGCGACTTCGCGATCCCCCGCGCGGAACCCCCCCGCCCTTCCCAACTCCGATTCC